AGCGACCTAGAGCGAGCATGAATGGTTGCGACCTGCGTAATCCTTTCAAGGTTGCCAAGGGCCGTTCCGTTAGGCTTCCTGTAGACTTCTCTCTGGCCGGTTCGAAAGACGATACATCCCACGAGGTCACCTGGGAGTTCTCACCCATCAACTCACTCACCAATAGTGGTGAGCACGGCGATCAGGTCTCAATTGGAAACTACAACGCCAAGAACGCACTGGATAAGCCATTTGTTTCGGAGCCAGGTCTCTACACTCTGAAGACTGTGTCAAGCGGATCTTGCAAGGGTGAGGTCAAAGAGCCCTCTTCGTGCCTTCTCCTGAACCCGTTGGAGCCTTCGCTCTCGATTCGCTCAGAGGAAATTCCCGATAAATGTGCAGGTAACTCTATTGGACTGCGGGTGGACCTGGATCTCGTTGGAACACCGCCATTCGTTGTTCGGTACGACATCGTCACCAGTGATGGGCACATCGAGAAGCAATCTCACCGCGTCTCTGGTCTGCGATCCCAGCTGGAACTGGTGCCCAAGATGGCAGGCCACCACAAATACATCTTCAAGTCTATTGATGATGCTGTTTATGACAATCTGCCTCTCACCGGCGAGGACAAGGTTTTGGAACAGGTTGTAAAGCCTGCCGCCTCAGCCAAAATCGCAAGTACCACTGGTGTTGTCAATGCTTGTCTTGACTCCGAAGTTGAACTCGATGTCCTCCTTTATGGCGAGGCTCCCTTCAATCTGGAATGGGAGATTGTTCATGACGGTAAGCGCAAGTCTGAGCGAGTCGCCGGTGTTCATGAGAACAGCTTCAGGATCAAGACCAACACCCTCCGCAAGGGAGGAGAGTATATTCTTGCGTTGAGCAGTGTCCAGGACAAGCGAGGTTGTAAGACCTTCCTCCAGGATCAGGTCAAGATCGCTGTACGACGCCAGCAACCACGAGCCGCTTTTGGCTTTGTTGAACATAAGCAGAAGATCATGGCCGTTGAAGATACTCACCTGCGACTGCCTCTCCGTCTCGAAGGAGAACCTCCTTTCGAGATCAGCTACAGGAACCTTAACGGCAATGGTGAAGTATTGACCAAGCGCGCCAACAACGCAAACGACAACCTGCTTGTCAAGTCACAGGGCGTCTATGAATTGGTGGATGTGCGAGATAGCCAGTGCCCTGGATCTGTCGTGCCATCAGCATCCCGCTTCGAGGTGGGCTGGTTCCCTAGACCAGAGATCTCGATTGTTGAGTCTCCCAGTATCAGTTCAGACGGCAACACCTTCGTCAAGCAGGATATCTGTGAAGGAGACATTGACGGCTTCGAAGTCAATCTCAAAGGTAAGCAATCGATAACTTTTAACCCGGCATTCTCGCTGACTAATTACAGGATCACCTCCCTATCATGTTGAATATGAGGTTACCCACAAGTCATTCCAGGGTGCAAAGGCCTTCACGCGAAAGGATTTCGACGCCGCCCTCGCGAAGGCAGCCATTTCTATGGATACTACCAAGGCTGGCGATTACACCTACAAGTTCTCTGCTCTTGCCGATAATCTCTACAACAGTGATAAGAACTTCAGTCCTCTTACTGTTACGCAGCGCGTGAATGCCAAGCCTGCTGCTGGATTTACAAAGCCTGGTCAGTCGTTTAAGTATTGCATGGAAGAGCAGGAACACGAAGACAAGATCCCGATCAAGCTCACCGGAGTTGCTCCCTTTTATGTCGAGGTTGAGATCAAGCACCAAGCTGGCTCTCCCGCCGAGACATATCGAATTCCCTCGATCGACTCAAACACGTATGGTATCAGGATTCCTCGCCAGCACCTCCGTCTCGGTGCCCAGCAGGTTCGCATTCGTACTGTTAGAGACGCTCGAGGCTGTCAGCGCAAGTACGAGATTGGAGGGCCCTCAGTGCAAATCCACCTCTACGAGGCGCCATCCATCTACCCTCTTGAGTCTCGGCGCGACTATTGCGTTGGCGAGCGTATTGCATATACTCTATCCGGTACACCTCCGTTCGACATCTCATACGACTTCAATGGCCGATGGAATGCTAAGTCGCAAACGACCAATTTCCGCCGTATCGCGGAGAAGCCTGGCGATTTCATCATCACTAGCATCTCAGACAAGGCCAGCGAGTGCCGTGCTGCGGTAAACATCCCCAAGACTATCCACCCGCTGCCCAGTGTTCAGATCAGCCGCGGTAAACAATCCCGTGTGGACATCCACGAAGGCAACGAAGTGGATATTTTGTTTGAGTTCTGGGGTACACCGCCCTTCGAGTTCACCTACACACGTAGCTCCAACGCCAAGAAGGGCCAGCGCAGTGTTGTCCTCGAGACAAGACATGATGTGTCTTATGAACACAGCAAGGTGGTCAAGGCGAGCCAGGAGGGTACGTACGAGGTTGTTGCGATCAAGGATAAGTTCTGCTCGTTCTCGACTCAGCAGGTAGAGAAGAAGAAACAAAGAAGATAGAGCTCTCAAGACGAATTGAGACGTGATATGGGGCAAACATAGTTTGAAAATTTTGACGTTTTGGCTGTTTGATAGGTAATGAATGGATTGTACTGCCAGGGGCGAGGACGAACAACAATGAGGAGGGACACTGAGTTGTATATATGCATCTATACCATGGCATGGCGTTAAGTAGGGTTAATCAGAGCAAGGTTGAATAAGTAAGACTTGTTACGTTCAAGTGTATCACTAAGTCGTGGGTGTGCAATTCGTGAAGCGCTGATTTGAGTCTTAGTTACCATGTTAAGACCGCGGTACTTTATATGCTCTTAATTCCTGACAGAATGAGAGTAAATATCGTTGCTCTAAGGAAGGAGTAAACGCAACAGGTCTTGACTGATTCTTTCTTCTTAGACACGCTTGCCTCACAGAAAGAAGTTAGATACTACCTTATCTGTAAGCCACAGACTTTCCAGTCTTCTTAATACTCGTCCTCCTCCGCCAACACAACATTTTTATGTAACAATTCTTCATCTTTCAGCATCATCAAGCAGAAATGGATGCCGAGTCCTGTTATTGAGAAGCAGGACCTTTCGAGCTGTCGTTACTTGACTTTCTTATCAAGAGCGATCTGCTCGAATGTGAAGATGAATCTGCCTGCCCCCTGCCCTTGCATCGAGCTACAGAGTCTTTTGGAGTCTAGATGGATCGAAGCACTTATCCCAGGCTGGCTCTGTAGCCATGCCAAAGATTTCATACCAGCGACAGTGCTCGAGCCTGCCTGTCCAGCCCCATTCGTTTGGCATGAACACTCCCACCGGTCTATTAGCAATCGATTCGGCTCTTCATTCATCGGCCATTTCCAATCACATTCGCTTCGATAACCCAACGGAGCCGTTACCGGCCAGTCTCTTCCTAGCAGGTCTTGTAGCAAGCTGCGAGACTGCCATCTTGGGACGCGCGATGTGCGGAAAGCTCAGCATTGCCAGCTTAACCACAGTCGTGAGAAAAAGTACTTTCTTGTGTTTCGATTCTCGCCGTTTAACGCACAGAGAGGGTTCGGCATGGCTCCAATGCACATGACTGGCCATTCTGGATCCGGAGACTCACCAAGCTCGGGAGATGGAATAAGCAATCGTTCTAGGCCTATCTTCAATACCTCTGGTCGAATCTCAAGCTTGTGGTGACATCCTTGCCACCCTTCAACAAGCGCACTTGTTCTGCCTTCCCGCCACAAGCTCAACGGTTGCTCATATAGGCAAGTGTGCTTGGTCTGGAGACGTCAGGAGGGTTACTTCGGTCTGTACTCCGTACTACACACAATAATTCCTGCCTAGGCTCGCTCGGACGGATCAGCAACTATCGATTAACCAGACAGGCATTGGCTATAGCACGGGTACAGAAGAACATCTAGAGTGCAAGGGATCAATGTGATCAACAAAGCTCTCAGACGATTATGACATTGAAACCGACGTCATCTCTCATCTTATTTAGTGCCAAGACTGGTCCTGACCTCGGTAGTGTCTTGTCTCGACCTTCTAGTCTGTGGCAGCGCAGTCTCGACTATTCGAAAGAGATGCCATGTCAAAGTTTAACAGGGTCTGGATGACAGGGGATAGAAATTGGATACGCCAGATTTGTGTTATTGTCCACCGAGAGGTTTACTTTCTGACGCGTAATTAATTGCTCGCAATACGCTATCATTGAGGTCACCAAACCCAAGAATGACCTGCAAGTATCAGTTGTGTTGAGTTATTGTTGCACAAGATTCAGAAACATCACACAATCAAACAGCAAGCAAACTTGACTATCATCATCTCCTCCTCGTGCAACACAAGCATCGGCTTTATACCGCATTTCGTCCACAATCCACGGTCCAGGCCAAGCCAACTCAACGGTAAACCCTAGACGGCACCCATTTCTGCGGTGCAACGGCTGACGGATACTACGTTATGGCACTATAGACAAAAGCCCCTTCTCAATAAAGCCTCCCACGGGAATCTGTGTGCCCAAACTTGCTCCAACCCCACCATTCGAAACGGTCCAGAACTCAATCGATCTGCACCTACTTGTGCCACACCTACACAACCTTGCAAACGTTATTAAGGACATGCTGGGTATTTATATCTGACATCTGTTCTCTGCTGCGTGAAACATTTTGGTCAGTCGTTTCCGACACTTCCGTGGTTCTCGACCTACTCCGTGGGTAACTTTCACATACGACAATGTTACACTCCATCCACGATACTACCCATATCCTGCCGATTAACCAACTATTCGAATATCAAAGTCAACACGCCAGCAGAAACAAAATTCGAAAATGAATACAGACATAGTCGATGCTCCTAACCGAACCTCGAACAACAACCATTGAATCGGATGGACAAGCTATATGCCCTCACTGGACAATGCCCACATGCCCATAAGATGGGTTACAACAACTCAGCACCTTGGACCATGAGGAAAACGAACTAGTTGCATGCCGGGCCAAGGCTGGCCCCCAAATGACGATGATATTATTGCAGGTATCAAAACTTATTCATCAGATGTTCCAAACACTCCGGAAACAAATCCACGAACGCGCCGTTTCTGCCAAAGCTAGGCCCAACTACCTCGTTGTCCTGCTCGCTTTCTGTATCTTTGCTAGATGCCTTCGTTCGTCAAGGGATCCGGGCTCAATGCGTCTCCCCGATCATAAATGCAAAATATACGACAAGAAAATCTTTCTTCCAAGATGGCCAACACAAGAAGCTATCAGTGTCAGAATACCCATACTGTCTCGCTCCGAACGCCATACTCCTCATGATGTAGCGTCACGTGTACATCAGGCACAGATCAAAGGGCAAGCGCTAACTATATCGATGGCTCAAACATAGGTGCGCTGGCGCTTTTCTGGTGGGCTTTGACCATCCATTCGCCCTTGGCTGGTTTGTGAGATGCTTGTTGGGAAACTAGCTCGGCTCGCGCTGGTAGGCGTCAAGCCGTACTGGTTTGCGCCATTTACCATGCCATAGCCCTGGTCCATCCCTGCGGTCATGGGAGACTGCTGCGGCATCTGTCCCGGGGACCAAGTGGCGCCAGTCGCTGGCGGCGTGGGCGTTGTCTCGAACTTGAACGTTGTTCCGCCGGGAGTGTTCAGGTTGCTCGGCGGGTTCATGTAACCGGCGCCGCCAACTACATATCCTGAGCCTGACTCTTGTTGAGTCGAAGGGTCATAACCCTTGAGGAGATAGCTCAAGTGATTTTCGACGATCTTCTGCATTCCGCTCTTGGTGAATGGCTTAGCCAGAACTCCGTTCATCCCTAGTCATGCAATATTAGCTCCCATGTTCGTTCGCGACTCCTACCACGGCTAGCGCTTACCGTGTTCAAAGTAGCAGTGGACCTCGTCAGATCGGATATTCGACGTCATAGCAACAATGGGAATGGCAGGGCAGTCTTGCCGGATATACATAGTTGTCGAGACACCATCCAGCTTGGGCATTATGATGTCCATGAAGATCATGTCGAAATGGTCACGGGCGACACTCGTAATACGGCTATATGCGTCTGCTCCATTTTGCTAATCAAATGTCAGTCAAGTGGCCCTATAGGGTTGTTTGAGGAAATCACATACAGCATGCTCGACTTCACAACCCATCGACTTGAGAAACTTGATGCCAATCTTGGCACAAGTTGGATCATCTTCAACGAGGAAAATCCTGGGTTTTCGTGATGCCCAAGTAAGGGCTGAGTTGGTCGACGAGTTAGAGTTTGAGTGTGTTTGGATGTTGATGGGCTGGGGAGCAGGAACCTCCTGCATGGCGTTGGCGCTGGACTCATTCGGCATCGCATAAGGGATTTTGTGGATGTGATCTGAGTGGAAAGGGTCGATGCCGACGGTTTGACCCACCGGGTACACGGGGTAGCGGTTGATGTCGTTCATTGGATCATGCATCATAGGCATTGAGGCTTGTGGGATAACAACAGCGGAGTCTGCCGGAGATCCATAAACGCCCTGGAGACGTTCCAGCTCTCGGTCGGCAATTTGATCAGGTGTCACGCTAGACAGAAGCTCACGAGCCCGTCGCAGTTCTGGTGCCGAATCGTCACTGCCATCCAGAGGAGATGTTCCGACGTTGAGGTGCATGCCCTGTTGATGGCGGTTGCCTGAAGGTGAGAGGAAATTAAGCATTTCATGCTGAGATTGCTTTTGTGCATTGAGCATTTTTTGCAGGGTCAGAACCTCGTTCACAAGAAGGCGATTGGTTTGAGACACTTCAGTGAAAAGCTCCTGGAGTTGTTGCACTTGCTGCTGAGTAGCTGTGAGTTGTTCAGTCATGACGCTGACGTGATGACTGGTTGTGAAGTCCTCTGTGGCTTGCGTTCTCCTAGGTGCTGGAGCCTTTCGACGAATGTTATCAAGATCGTCCTTGCTGCCCACCCTGAAATTGGGGTGCTTGAACTCGAGTGTCTAAACTTTTGGTCAGTATTTGCTCCCATATCTAATGGTCAGGTAAACTCACATTGGCACCATTGGCCGCAGATCCACTGTCATTTGTTTGTCGCACTTTGTGGAAATCGTACTTGTTCAATTGTCGGACAAAACTAGCCATGTTGCTGTGCTTGAAGTGCTTAGGCAGGATTGAACGTGTAAATTTTTCATTCTAGCGCTGTTAGTATTCGATGATTGAAGTCAATTTCAGCTCAAGCCTACCTCAACAACAACGAACGTATCGCCATCCTTTCCCCATCTGGCAACATCTTGATGCGCTGGATCTTCGAGCATTCTTGAGTTTGTTAGCATCGTATGTACAGGCAGCTATAAGTAGCCATACCGATAAAGCTTGCGAACCTATCAGAGGTGTTAGTTGTGATGTAACCAGCCACTGTTGTCTTGCCGACTCACAAATTCGCTGGCATTGCTGCCACCAACCCCGGGGGTTGAGGTTCCGTCGCCAGACATGTTATGCGTTTGTATAATGAGTGCCTTTGCTACTATGAATTGCGCTTCGAGGTGAAATGCCCCTCGGTCTGCTGTTAGAACAATATGGATTGTTCAAGAGTCGTTGCAACGGATAACGGATGGAAGAGGCGTTTAACCGGGCCGAGTCGCCGTTGATCGTTGTCGAACCTTAGGTAACAATAAGTCGAAGGAGAATGATTCTGGTTCTTTTGAGCAGCAGATGAATGGTTTGCGATGCGCCGACGCAAGATGATACCGAATGGCGTAAGGGCCAGATGCAGACTTGAGAACTGGACGCGTTGATGTTCAGTCGTAACCCAGTAGGTCCAGGGGTTAGAAAGCTTTGCGGGCTAGAGTGCTCCAGATTGAATAAAAGGGCATTCGCAGGGAGATCGAGGGCGACGATGCGATAGATGAGGGCCGTCGCAATTGCAAGACCAAGGGGCTGAAAATGGGAGGGAATGAGGAACGGGAAACGGGGACAGGGCCTGAGTTGTATCTCAAGACAGACAAAGTTGGGAGGCCGTGTGAGCGGGAGTGGGCACAGGCGTGGGTGGAACGGAATAGCCTGAGCCTGCTTTTGTCTCTGAACTGGAGTGGCTTGGCTTTGGCGGGGGTCGTAGTGACTTACCTCTTTGCCCAGAGATGTGGATATCGTCAGGTATTCAGTACCTAGCGCAGCTTGCTCAACACGCTCTGTTCCAAGAGCAGATGGCACTTCCCACTTGGGCTGGGGCAGGGGGATCTGTGCTTTTGCTGGTACTGGTGGTACTGGTGCCGATTCTGATGTCGCTGCTGATGCTCTGAGCAAGGTGAAAGAGAAAAGCTTGAGACGGAGTGGGCTTTTCCGGCCAAGGTTGGTTTAGCCTCAACCAAGATCGCGGTGGGAATGAAGCGCTATTGCGCGAACAAGTCTGGCGGCCGTCTCTGTGGGGTGTCCCCTTGTCCATCCAAAGCTTTTTGGTCCTTCACAGCCCTTCATGACCCTTGGTTGGCTGCCCGGTTGTACTGGAGATCGTCCCCAAACTCGACTGTGTGGAGGTGATCATGGCGCACCGTGGCCACTATGCGACCTAAGCTCTGTTTGGAAGATCGTTAGCTGGTGAAGAAGTGAGAGAAAAAAACATCCAGCTGTTGAGATATCCGTTCCACTACTGTCCTGACTTTGGCGCTATGTTGATCGTTTTCGCGCCGTGTGTACGGAGGACATGACATCCACTTCAAATACGAAGCCGGTCACGACGAGACATTTGCTGCAAGAATGACGAGTCCGTCAGATTTGTGTTCCTCTTTCTTTAGCCCCATTGTTTCCGTCACTCCTGACTTGGTTATGTCAGGAAGGCTGTTGGAGCTGTCCCGTGTCTTGGTTCCATTTCTGAAGCCATGCCGTGTTGCGCCATGCAGGGAGGCGGTTGCAGGTAGTGTTATTCAAGACTTGGGCAATCGACAATAAAGGTAAAGAATTCTTTACTTGATGTAGCAGTCAACTTCTAGCCGGCTTTGTGTCCCGGGTGTTTGCACTATTGTGCCAGCTTAATCTTTCACCGTGACCAATCAACTCAGAGCGTATCGAGATGAGAAAGTCGTCGCAAAGTGCTTCTAGTCTTGAGCCCTGGGGCCACGTTCCTGGCTGCATTTGCAGCATGCTGTGGAATGCTAGGAATTTCTCTTACTTGATCAACGGAAGATACATGTCGTGGTTGTAGCCCATGACTCGGATTGAAGACCCAGCAATCTGGGAATTTGACTACTATATGAATCCTGTAGCCACAATTATGGTTCTCTCAGATACAGCAGCATTGACATGAGATGGCGATAATCTTAGTTTGAATGGTGTCAATCATATGTCTACCTGTTTCTAGGCTCCAGATAGAGGCATGTCGCTGTTAGCTAAGCTCGGTGGTTCCCTGGTCAAGCCAAATGCCAGCGTTATTAACTATGTCAGTAGTGAGACTCTCAGTTGTCGGGGATGAATAAGGGTCTGTCTCGAGGCTGAGTTGTGCTGAATCAGGACCCAGTATTGGGCGCTGGCGTCATGGAAGCCCTGTGAAAAGATCTGCAAGAGAACCACGGTGTAGGGAGATATTGAGAAATCAACTGAGAAAACCAGCGAACCTTGCATTGCAGCGCAATTCTCAATCAACAGCCTGGCCTTTGCCTTGGATGGCTGTAGAAAAAACATGAGGGAAACGTTCCAGGACAAGAGCTTATGAAAGAGCGAGGAATCAGTCCGCTAATGGCCGCTTGCTGTGGGCGTTTCGGTTATCGTCGAACCAGAATCATAGAAGGTCAGCCAAGAACTGAGACGACACTCAGCCTCAGCCAATGCTTGCGCATCATATCCCGTTTCAGTGGTGTCCTTGCCCGGAATGGACATCTTTCCTCACATGCCACGGTACGGATTTAGCCGTAAGGGAGATTAACGAAGCTGAATAAAGACGAAGCAATGTTGAGTAACATCGAAAGTGGAAGCCGGAACTCGATCTAGCAATACCAGACCAGGGTATGATAATGTTTCTTTTTAGCCTGTTCCTGTTCGCGTCTATTTCTGTTAACGGATATCGAGCACTGTACTATACTGTACTGTTCAGATGCCTTGTGATCGTTTGGTAGAGGGTGCTGAAGAAGCGACTGCAGCATCTCATTGAACGTCGAGATAGACTTTGAACGAACCCTCCAAGATTCTATGTCGAGAAGCGATAGTTTGTTCAAATGTGGAGGACAAGATAGAAACAAGCGAAAGGTCCATGATCGGTCGAGACCGTGGCCGTTGGCAAAGAACGAGGGCGAGAACGAAGCGGGTAACTACCTCCATTGCGACTGTATGAGCGGGTGCGGGCACACTGTGCACGAACCGCAGATATGGAAATCGCAATCTATCACCTGCCTAAAATTAATCTGGCTACTAACAGAATGCACGGCTGAGAATTCCATAAAAGGAGAAACAAGAAGGGAGGTCTAGCGCTCACGTAACTACTTGCCAGCAATCATTCTTTTATTAGTTCCTTTGAATGGCGCCTGTGACCTATTTGCGGGGTTGTTTAATGACAGGGGGGAGAAGACCCTGAATTCGGGAGACTTGCCTTAAATACCTGGTGGTACTCAAAAACCTCAGAGGGAAGACTTTTCGGTCTTGGCCTTGGTCTAAAACCGTCATCTACACCTCATACATGACTAACAATTGGACAACGTTTAAAACGGATACATTTGCGGAACATCATTATACCTACCTTACTTTAGTACCTAGTACCGAAGGTGAGGTAGGTAGAGAGCACTCAAAAAGCCTATGGTCACTACTGAATACTACATGACTTGCGAGTATAACCTAAGAGACATCTGCATCATATTCTACGACCGAGACACAGGACCCAAGACATATGAAAGACACATGCGGATACCTCAGTGAATGTACTGAATACAAACAACATTTGACAGCCAAACCGATCCACAGCCAACTCCCGGCCGGCAAGTTTAGTTACATATGGTGGATAGTCTCATGGCTGGGGAGCGAGAGAAAGCGACTATCATATTTCAAGTTTGATCTCTCATTGTCTCGGAGATTTCCCTCGTTCGTCGAAGAACCGGATCCAACAAGGGCAAGTTTGACAAATCCATAGTTGATCATTGAACAATTCCAGCTGCCGGAAGCCCCATCTCCCCTCTGACTTAGCAGATGTTATTTTGTTATTTTCCCTGCTCGTGAGGGAAGAAAATGCCAGAAAAGAAACCAAACGACCCGAAACTTGTCGGACCGCCAGCGAAGCCGCATAAATAAATGTTGCCTCTCTAATTTAGTCTCCGATCGGGCGCTACCGCGTCCCAGAACCGAAGCGACACCAACGAATAAGTCCTGTTTGTTCCTGAGCATGAACATGTGCCTGTCATTCATATGCCACCAGGCTCGTGCGTGAACTGGCTTCATTGAGAGAGGCCATTATCGAACCAGTTTTCAAGTGTCAGCTGTCTGTCAAAAAGTCAAACCCCTCCCTCAAAGCCAATAGCTCCATGTTAGGCGAAACCAAGGTACTCGTCTACACTTGCCGAGAAACAAACAAAGCGGAATCACGACTACTACCCACCTTAGGCAGGTACCTTAGCAAATATGTGAATGCTGGGTGTTGTCAGGATTTGACTGGTCCACCGGTATTAAGCAGTGAAACTTTACAATCCAGGGTCCGGATATAGCGAGCTGAACTGTTATGCCTGATATAACGAGTGAACTCTGGAATGTCTGCCGAAGTCTATCGGGACTCATCGTTCGGCGTCGGGTAATTTTATTTCCACGGCAGGTCGTTGAAGATTAACGGGCGGTAGAGTGCTTTTGACAGGTTTTGAACGATTACCTCAGCAGTGCACCTGATTCACCGAGGTGAGAGCCCCTACACCGAGGTGAGGTGGGGAGGTTCCGTTGATTGAGTCACTGGAAATTTGACCTAACCCCACGGTTCGCGTGCGCTTCAACTTACCTTAACTTCACAATATTCGCCCAACTATCTTTCAGACGCAACGCTCTCACCCCGACAGCTGAACATGTCGCACAAGGGCAATAGCGGAAAGGGCAAAAAGTCCTCAAAATCAGGAGCCGAGAGCAAAAGCGAGGATGTTCTCCAGGCGGTTGTAGGTGACATGGCGGGGTATCTTTTTCTTCAAGACCGGCGCAAGCTCACAGCGTATTATTCAGGTCCTCGCCGACTCCTTTCAAGATAGATTCAGGCCCTTCACCACCGAGAAGCCAAGAGTAAGGCTCTTTTATTGAAACTCAACCGTGTGCTCGTACTAATGGGCTTATTCGCAGTGTCTTCTTCCTCTCGCAAACACACCTCTCATTGAGTATACCCTTGAATTTCTGGCCATGAACGGTGTCAACGAAGTCTACATCTACTGTGGTGCTCATACCGATCAAGTCGAAGACTACATCAGCCGATCTCGGTGGTCAACAGCCGCGCGCACATCACCCTTTTCCGTTCTTCAATTCGTCCGAGTCTCCGATGCGCGATCAGCCGGCGATGTCCTACGCGATATGGACAAGCGATCTCTTGTCGATGGAGATTTCATCCTCGTGCATGGCGACCTTGTGTCAAACATCATGCTTGATGGTGCTTTGGCGGCGCATCGAAAACGGAGGCAAGATAGTGCAGCCAATATCATGACAATGGTGTTGCGTAGTGGTGGAGAGGATGGTCACCGAACAAAAACAAATGGCATCACACCTATTTTTGTGGTCGACACAAAGACTCAGCGATGTCTTCACTACGATGAGATGAACCCCTTGGCAAGCGATCGATATATGTCACTAGACCCGGCTGTTGTGGATGAGCTATCAACTGAATTCGAGATTCGATC